CTTCCAAGCCTCCAGAAATTGCATGGTCAGCAAGTTCCAACTTCCGAAGTTTATTTAGGCTGGGAAGCGGGGCCAGGGAAGGCAGTGCCACATTAGCCATACTCAGACATTCTAGTTCTTTAAAAGTGTCATTCAGGCCCTCAGTTTCCCCGTTGCCACACAGGCAATTATCAAGAACCAATTCTATCACCTTCTCCAGGGCTCTGTTCCTTAACTACAGGTTAATCTTCATATTCATATCCTCCTCCTGCTCTTCTGCCACTACTCTCCTTTCTCCTTCCCTGCTGTTCCCACTACCCACAACCCTAAAATTTTTGAAAACTGGGAAATGAATGAAAAGAATCGCAAATATAAATGTCCACTACCACCAGATAGGTGTGGGAGAGAAAGAAAAGAATAGCAAATGGAGTCCAAGGAGTTGGGACTCTAACTCGTCTGCTCCCACCTCCTTGTCCACACACCCGCACATGCACTCACACGCACACACGCACACACCTGCAGTTCCTTCCCCTTCGGTGGCTGCTCAGAGACTCTTAAATACTATTGTTACTGCAACTAATTACCACATACTGCAACACATTCATTCTCTTCCAGTTCTGGTAGGGTCTGAAAGGAGCCACACTGAGCTAGTGTGAAGGAGTGGTGGGGAAGCACTCCTTTTGCAGGCAAATCTATTTCCTCACCTTCCTGTCCTCTAAAGGTATCCCACACTCCTTAGTTTGTGGATTTCTTCTGTCTCCAGTGGCAGCAAAGGGGAGTTGAGTTGTTAGTTACTCTCATGCTGACTCTTATGCCTCTTCCCACTTGAAGGACACTACTGATTACACTGGGCCAGCCAGTTATCCATAGTAATCCAATATTTTCTCCTCAGCAGATTAGCAATTCAATTCTATCTGCAACTTTAAATTCCAGCTTACCAGGTCATGTAACATGCACACTGGTCCCAGTGGTTTGGACCTTTGGGGAACATTACTCTGCCTTCCATAAGGAGAGTACCTGATTAAAGTCAGCCTGGAAATAAATATCACTCCTAGTCATATTCCACAGCTGAGAGCTGTTCTAGCTGCAAGGGAAGCCGATAAAAACTCTGTGTAGGAACCATATTAACCTATATTCTATGGAAAGAAAAACTGAATTTTTTTTTCCCATGGTGGTTGTATTAGTTTATATTCCCACTGACAGTTTAAAAGAAGTTCCTCCCCTA